AAATGTCACGATTATACATTTCAAGAAACTTTGTATATTCAACGGGTGAGTATTAAAATTTATGACAAAGCTATGGATAAAAAATACAAAGAGAACGGGGCGCAATCCCATTGATGGGTGGTCGCGGTGGACAAAGGAGGCAAATAGACTAACCACGGCAATCCACAAGAGACCCTACAGTCCATTATTTTCCCCTTCAGTCTATAACAACCACCATTTTATCAATGGGATCGCTCCATTTTCCCATAATTTCCTTCGTCTATCAATCGACAGGGTGTCTAGTATTTTTTAATTTTGAAAAATCTTGATATTTCATAACAAATTCCTGATTTTTTCATTTTGAAAATTCCAGATGTTTCCCTGATTTTTCTCGACTCCTGGCACGGTAGGCAAATAGCAGTAAGACTTTCTCCGCTGAGGAGACTTGCGTAAGAAAAATTCCTGATAAAACGTCCGATTCTCTTGATCGGCCAAAATTCCTGATATTTCCCGGTTTTCCCTGATGCTAGACACCCTGATTTAGATAATCGGCCTGTTGGGCCTCGTTACTTTCCGTTAAATTCACTCTCAGTTTAAATCCACCCTGAGCGCTGGGTATGTTGCGAAGATTATGAAACTCATAGCTCTACGAATTTATGACGTGGCAGAAATTCTCTCTGGTTTTAGTCAGAGAAAACCGTGGTGGATTCCCGACCGACGCTTCCGGTCGGTCACGAGAATAAAAGCACGATCCTTGGAAAGCTCGGTGATTGCTCTTAGGAGCTTAGAATTTTCACTCCTCACCGACGAAGCAACGGACCAGATGCGAAATAGCTTTCGCAGAAGGGAGCGATTGGATGGGGTGGGCGGGAGGGGGAGGGAGTCAGATGCTTCGGGAGGGAGGGGGTGACACCGAGTTGCGATCGATGCCCTAAAAACGTGGCCCGTGGCCTGTTCTCTCGCCTCTTTCGGGGAGAGGAGCACCCAACGACCTTGGAGCGCCCCACACTTTTTGGAACTCCCGACTTTATTTCTTCCTGGGATTTTTTAAAGCTGTGACTCTTTCTTATTTAAAATTCGCCCCTTTCACGGTAATACAACACCTGGAGGGTTCCCCCACCCCGTGACACACTTTTCCTGCTGTGCTGAGGAAAAACGTCATATCCACGTGCAGATGTTGCCAAATCTCCACCGATGAGATATTCATTTTGATGGAAGCCATAAGTACTTTTTTTACAAAGTTTCAGATCCTTCAATCAGATTGCATATAAGGTACTCTAAAAAAAAAGTGGAGGAGAATTATTCGTTAGTTTCTGAGTTATAGTGTTTCATCGAAGAAAATTTGCAACGTTCGAAAGCTCATATGGCGTGCGCAGAGATGCAAAACGATATGTCAATGATTTTTCAGGGGCTACGTATGCGATAATAATCCGAAAATTCGATAAAAGTTATTACTCTCGAGTTAAGAGACTTAAAACTTTATACTTAAACTCCCCAGTTAAGAAACTTCTAAAAGAAAAATTTCTGATGATTTTTCCCCCAAAATTTCAAAATTCAGATTTCACTGTTTAGATGCGTTACATGGAGTGGGTACTAAGTCTCGGTATTGCAGAAGCATTAAAAAAAATTAAGGCTTATTGGGCTTAAAGTTTTATAGAATTTTGTAGCTGGGAACGTGCGGCCTCATGGGCTTACAGCACGAACACGGCTGTAGAGACAGCCGTCACTCCGTCGTCGATGCTTACAGTCCCTTGGAATTTATTTTAAAAAAGTCTTTGCATAACCATGGGTGGAGCTGGGAATTTTTTGCAGGATGGGGGAAGGGAACAGATGGGTACTACCGTATTAAGGAAGAACGCCGTATGAACCTTCAGGCGTTACCAAATTTGCTTCGATAAAACACAAAGTTCCTGGTGAACTTGTGAATATTTTTCTTCCAATTTTTCAAAAAATCTTGCTCGCAATTTCACCGAAAAATTCTAAAAATTTCAAGGGAAAATATTCGTAACTTTCCTAAAACATGAACATTTTATTGAAGGAAACTTGGCAACTCTCGAATGCTCATACGAGGTTCTCCCTTGGCAGGGCAACATATCAAGAAGTGTATGGAGGACACAGAAAGGCCTCCGGGCTGGACCCCATCGAGGAAATTAGGAGACACCCCCGCAGTCCAGAGAGAGGGTCTACAAGGCCCCTGAGAAAATTTTGAAAAGCGAGACACCTTAGTAGCAACTGTGAATTATTCCCAATGATGAATTCAACGAAATAAAATTTCAAAGATCAAAGTAATTTAGCACATGAATTTTGTACATCCCTTCAATTTTTAGAAGTGCGCCAAGTAAACAAGTTAAGGGGACCAGGCCTCTCTGGTTGTATCCACGTGCACAGCAAGGGTGTAATTTACGGAGAAGGGGGGAGGGGGGCGAGAAAAATGACATCTTTTAAAGGAAATTGTCATCATTACGTATTTGCAAAGCATTTGAGTCCTGCTTTTACAATTTTGGCCTGAGGGAAAACAAAAACAGGTTCCCCTTCTCTGGTGGGACTGTTAAACAAGGAGGGTACTTGAATAGATAGATCGTAGAGAAAGGATGGATAGAAGGTTTCTATTCTGTTTATTCAAGTTCGAACATGGGCAGACGAGGCTTCTTTAAATTAGTAAGTAATCAGAAAAAAGAAAACAATAATTTTAAAAAAATAAGTAGGTACTTAGGTGCCTGAATAAATCAAAATGGAATTTTCTTGATAGGATTAAAAACGTTTAGTTATTGATTTATTTTTTGGAGAGGAAATAGGTACTTAGAATAAAAAAAATTCAATATTATTCATTTCTCCATTATTACCATCAGGAATGAGAGATATTGATTGCGGTGAATTTTCAAGCGATAAACGACGGTGCAGCTTGTTACGCTCGTGCACAAATGGAGCCCTCCAAATATAAAATAATATCCCAAAAAGTACAAATAGAAGATCCATTTCATCTGAGCGCTGCATCCATTACTCTTATGTTCAAATCTCATATACCTACCTAGGTAACAAAAATATTGTACTTCTAATGTTAACCTCCATTCTTGATAAATCAAGGGCTTCCTTGAAGTCGTGAGATCTTCGGTTTGACACTTGAAACACCTGATCTTTTGCCCACTTGCAAGGAACTAGCTGTTTCTTGATATTGTCACTTTCCGGCCAAAGTATCACAAGCGCCATGTGACGTTTAAAAATTCCCACCATCATTTTATTTTTTTACTTGCAGAGAAATTGTTCAAAGAAGCTGTTTGAAGATTTCACTAAATTTTCTCTGTGCTGCCGATAAAATTCAATAAAATTTTCAAACAGATTCAACCACAAAATTCTCTTTAAAAAAAATAAAATGGCGCTGGAAATTTTTAAATGTCGCATGGCACTTGTGATACTTTGGCAGGAAGGTAACGATATATCGATGCCTAAAGTAAAAAAATGCGGATCTCCGATGGCTACATTGTACTTATGTCTCTTCTCATGTTTTATTTTTTTAGGCAAACTAACTAACAGTTTCGATTGAGATTTTCGATGAATTTCCTTCATTCATTCTGGACAAATTACGAGAAAAAATTTTGATCAGTTTTCTTTGAGGAAAATAAGATAAAAGAGATGTTTAAGTGTTACACTCCAGATCCTTTTTTTAAAGCATATTTGGCCATCGATATTGTCCTAGAGTAGTACCTATTATTGATTTCAATCATCTGATCCTTGGTTTACTTTCTCCCATGTGTTGTTCTCTGTCAAAGATTGGTCAAACTTTACTCTGTTCCTAACCCTATCGTCATAAGATATAATCATAGCATTTCGCCTCTCTTGAAGATAATACTAAGTAGCAAATTGCTTGATAATAGTATCCCCCTGCAACTGAGAACTGGTGGATTTGTTAACTGATCAATTAATAAAACATTCACGAAAACGATCATGGTGGAAACGATTCGGATGGATCATAGGTTTGTCCAAGGTCCTGCATTGTTTTTTGACACCACATTAGATGGCAATAAGATCTAAATTATGCAAAATTGAAAATGTGAAAGATTGAAGCACCTACAGGGCCAAGTCCTGGTGATGAGACAAAGCATGAATAAAAATATGTTGCAGTCATCGATAATTCTGACCAGGCTTATACCTTCCTCATGGTCAGTGTAATGAATTTACACTCTCTGATGATGTTCGTTGAGCGAGATTACTTCTAAGGGTACAGGGCTATTATCAAATATTTGTCCAAGTTTCGTGAATCTTGAAATCCCTTTCTTCTCTCAGTTAGAAATAAACTGAGGGACATTTCACTCAAACTATTTGACAGTGAAATGAACTGTTTAATGTAACTAAATATGCAATAGATGTTAAATTAGTGATAAAATTGGTACATAATGAGAAGTTTTATCAATTCATAGGGATAAACTACATATTAGAAGTATTTCATTGAGGCTATACTTGGAAACTGAACTATTGTACTGTTTTGTGTGGTCAGAGAATAATTGTTGGATGACTTTCAACGGGAGAGGACTATTTTTCTATACTCATTCGGACACTTCAAGTTGTAAATTTAGGTTCATGACTTGTAGAGAGCATGATAATCATGAAAGGAGAAATAATAGAACTATTACTTTCTCTCTTTCACTTCCTTGAGGAATCACACTAAGGAAGAGTTCGAATCAATCCCTAACAGCTTATGGGGTGACTCACTTACAACCATGATCCGACGAAATACCTTCGTTGGCCTAAGTAACCGTACATTTTGTAGCAGTCTGTGACTCGTACGGAGACATAAGTTCTAAGAACAAATCAGGGAGAATCGTGTGTCTAATAGTGAATATTGCTTAGTTATAACCAATTTAGAAGTACTTCAAATCTGCTACTTGTATAATGGCAACATTGTCGGTGACAGTGAGATGAAAGTTGGCGCTGCATTGGCAACCTGACATGTCAACTTGGACGCAATACACACAGGGGTCGTTACGATCTATAATGAAGGAGGTAGTTGAATAAACGAAACTTACAGTCTAAATGTTTCTTCTTAGGTCCTATAAGTTCTTCAGTAGTTGCTTTGCAGACTGATTTTGCTAATCCTTGACCTGCCAAACTGTGCCTTGCTGCCAGCAGCCTGTCACTGATGGTTTGCCCGGCCATAGTTTCACTCTTTTTCACTAGCAGACCACAAAACTACGGTACACTCGAGATTTACGACCAGAAATTTATGTTGAGCTCCATTTGACGCGAAAAACGAAAGCTCTACCGAGCAGCCCGTGAATGTAAATAAAGGTCACCAAAGATTTTCGATCAATTCAAAAGTCGACGCGAGAGACAGGCACAAACGGAACCGCTTATCTGGCACGGGCAGGAGCAGTTATCTGGGAGAACACCGATGAATTTGGGGATTTCGAACAAAAGGATAAAACTGGTGTACAAAAAATTCTGATAAAGGCTTCGATACTGCTACGAGTGCTGGTCAACACATTCACACTCACACACTGAAAGCTGAAACACAGTGTAACACTCTAGAGGAAACTCTCTGATGACATTTTTGCAACGGATAGTAAAAGACGATACGCAATCTAACAGATGTAGCTTTTTCTACGCTACGAGAAAGCTCCAGAAAATTGAAGTATCACGCCGCACAGTAAAATTGCTACTCATAATTTTCGCGATTCCACTACTGAATGAAATCGGCATATTCTCTGGTGGAAAATATGAAATTATGAAAAATTAATGATAAGAGATGAGTCAGTTCCTGGAAATCTGACATGGCATAGGAAGTGTGGTGGTAAAGGTGTGTGCATCCCTTATCAAATTAGTGACCAATCAGAGGTCACAGATAAAATGCGTCATGCAATATTACGTCATCTAATGCAGTGAGGATTAACACATAGTTGCCAGATAGTAATGCATATCGATGGCCAACCGGCTTCCGAAGTCACAAACTTGCCCGTCAGACTTCATCTTCGAGTCGGAAAACAAATCAGAAGTATTTTTTTAAATTTTCTTGGCTGTTTCCATTCAGTCTCAAGAATATTTTGTGATAAACTTGAGCAATTTCTCCTGAGAAACCCAATATCAGAGGAAATTTTATATCACCGCAGTCAAAGTAGGCAAGTGCAAGGTTTCCGCACATTTCAGTAAATTTAGCAGAATTCTGGGTGACACATGACACATTGCAGTAAAGTACCGATTTTAGAGAGAGACTATAACCCACATAGCTGTGTTGTGTATGTTGCCAATCTACTAATTGAAGGGGAAAATTTCTCATCTCTCTGAAATCTCTTATTGAAATTTTTAACAGCAATAAAATTAGTATAAGTTGCAATTTTCCTTTGCATTGCAAATTATATAGCCTATCTTTCCGGCGCATAAATGAAATTCATTTTATTGATAATCGTTTAAAATCGGAATTTATTAACCAAACGATGTAAAAATATTGAAATTTCATGGAAAAAAATTGTGATTTTATTTTAACAACCTATTTATTTCAATTTTCACATCGCACTGTGCTACTTTGAACTCTATTTTTTTAAGTTCTGGGACATTAATTGTCATTTGAATGTAACTTGTCCACTCTAGATTCCTTTACATGTTGCATACTGCACAGGGAGAACCAGTACAGAGGATTTTGGGTTACAAACCTTCATTGATGTCCGAGATTTTCTTTTTGTTCCATCATAGTTTCAGAAATATTTTGAGTTATGTTTTTGAATGGGAGAGGGCTGTGCACTTGCGGCAAAAGCCCGGATATAGAGGCTTAATTTTTGATGATGTCTTCAAGTAGGGGTAACAGTTCCATTACAGAATGATTGAATAGCACTCAGTGCTCATTTGTCTCCATTCAGGATTTGAGGTAAAAAAAATATAAATGAAATAATAAATATAAAAAATTTAATGAAGATAAGTATGACATTGGACAAACTTACATGAAAATATTATTAGGATAATATACTTGGGATACTTATTATCATTCGATAGAAAAAATTTCACCTAAGTTCAAAATACAAAATTTTCTAGTTCCCTCTTGCTCATAAAAATTATTCAGGGCTGACAAAGGGTTGCAGTGTATGGGATAAAATACTAATTTTTGGTGTTGAGGATTGTATGAATATAGGGGCAGGATGCCTTGAATCAACATTTTGCGATGAGTCTGTTGCATCCTTCAGCTAGGTCAAAAAGAAGAGTTAAATCGAACTGAAAATGGCTCAAAAATCACGATGAGTGACCAATTGGCAAGAATCATTCGTTGAGACAATTTAAGATATAAATTATTCTAAGTTGGGGAATACCTAGCAAAGTTGATCACACCTCACACCTCACTCCTGCTTCCTTGCGCTGATAGCAAGTCTACAACAGTGTGAGGTGAAAAGTTTTCTCTGTAGCTTTAAGAATAACTTTTAACTGCTCTCGGACTGAAAAATTAGCCTCTCGTAGCATAAGTCGTTTTTGTTTATTTTGATGAGCATTTGCTTTTAAGCCAGCAAAAATTATAATCAGTGAACAAAAATGAACTACACAGCCATGTTTGGAGGTCACAAACCATCTTTGTTTCGTTTTTTTCTTTCAGTGATTATTAAATTTTATTCAGTACGGTAGTTGTCTTCCTCCTTGAAAGAACTACATACTGAGAAGTTTCTGTTTAAAAAAGCATCTCAGGATTTGAAATTAGTCTAGGACCATTACAATGATGATACGCTTTATTACTTTGCAATACTGTAAAGAGAAACATAGAGTTGAGGCTTCCTGAAGAATGTGAATCTTGCATCATTTAAAGATTCAAGAAATTGTTCACAACATACGGTTTCTCTATATTTTGACCCAATCTTTAGGGTTTCGTAGTACTTCCATCAATTTTGCCTCCTCAGTTCCAGGTTCCGGAGCATGCATGTATTCCCACCTCTGTCAAGACAAGGAAAACAAACAAGATATTAAAACATATACCTATACTCATAAAATGTATTAATATTCTCCCTTCAAAAAAAATAAATAAAACCTCAGGATTTGATAATTATACCAGACTTGAAAAAATACCTACCATCAGAAATTAATGACATTTGGAGTAATTTGTTATTGATTTTTTTCTTCTTTTATCAACATGCCAGTTTTGAGGAAAACCAAGCCAAAAAGGAAGGTTTTCGGCAACTTATATGCGTTTTTTAATCACGACAGGGCACGAATTTTATGTTGAATATGCAGAGCCTTTTGTTCTGAAGGAGTCTATTGTATCTTTCTAGCCAACATGTGACAAGGAGCTCTCCTCAATCAATTACATCTCTACCAGATAATGCATATGAAAGCTGAAAAATTCGAATTTCAACCCTGCTTTTCTTGACACTAGCACACAGAAAGAGCAACTTTAAAATGTCATTATACTCAGGAGGTTGTGAGGAATACGCATTAATTGATAATAAAATTCAGCCCGCACTGAATTACTTGGTTTTCTTTGCAGGGTTCTTCACTTACAAACTAAGTAGATGTATGGGGGAGTTCAAATTTATCTTACCGCTGTTAAGGGCAGGCTCATTAGAATACTTTCATAGCGAGCCTCTGGAGTGGCTAAACCAAACTTCGTCCCTCGGTCGTAAATTAAATTGAATTCTACATAACGTCCTCTACGCAGCAGTTGCCATTGTCTTTCATGATAGCCATATCCATCATTTTTGTGTTTTTTAACTATTAAGAGAGTAAAAAAATGATAGATTGATTAGAGAACCAAGGTCAACTTAACATGGTAAATAGACGTAAATGTCTGAACCGCAAAAATCAAAACAACAGAAAATGAAAAGCATAAGTTGAAACAACAGCTTGCAACCAAGGAATTCTAACAATGTGTTAGCCAATTCAAGATATCAGCAGAAAACCTACGAGCCATGTGATTGAATTCGCAATTTTAAGTGCATTGTAAGTTTTTCCTGGTATCAAATATGGCTTATCGTTGTTAGCTCTGATGTTTCATTTGCAAAATAAAAACATCAGTTCCTGAGCATCCTTAATTAAATTGTAGTGCTTCGTAAGACAGTCGTAGCTTTTGTAAAATCCATTTTCTAAAAAGACTGTAAAAAATAAAAAGACATGTATTTTTTAGTTTAATATTTGTTTACAATGCAGTTGAGACAGCAATTTTTGAATACCCTAAAGAGTTAACGGTACAAAAAAGAAGGAAACAAAAATTATTATCTGCAATGTTGCGACAGAATTTTGTCTGTAACTGCTGGTTAAGCAGATTTTTCATTGATAATTCTTGTACTTTTTCCAACTATTTTTTTCCCCGTCTGCTAATCTATATTGAGAATGGCCAAGTTGTCACTACCTTTTTAGCTTAATTTCTCATTTCGTTTGTGCTGTAATTTTATTAAGGAGTAAATGTTCATATTTATAAAAGTTAAACAAATAAAATAAAAATTATTACACTAACCCAAAGGCACATATGAAGGTATAACAGCATTAGCACACGATTTGACAAATTCAAACACCTTGTTTTGAGCAGGTAGGTCTATGTCATCGAAGAAGATGCCTCCAACTCCTCTCCTTTCACCTGGTTACAGAGTAAAGTTATTCATTTTGAGAAGGAAAAAAATTATGTAAAAAATGTGGAAGGGTGAGATCAAATAGATTTCACCTCCAAGACACATCTGACTAGTGAAATAACACAGTGGAGCAGGACAAAGTTATTGTTGAAATAATTACTTTCACATGAGAGCAGTCGTCAAAAATAAAGGAAGAGAATGAGGAACTGCCAAGAAAACAGGATTAAGTGACATCAAGATACGATTACAGGCCGCTCAGTTGAGACTCCTAAAACATTAACAGCTTATTCCCATCAGAGGCAACAGAATTCCACAAACATGTACATAAATATGTGATTCACGGCTTAACAGGAATTAAATGGTTCGGATTGATGCTGATAATTTTATTTCAAATGGAATCATATGTGAATGAAGAGTAACCAACCAGAAGGTTTGCCCAGTGGTCATGACAGTATGTGTAGTTTAGACCAAAGACTGTAGAAGGTCATGGAAGGAGCTTTTGATTCTTGTCGGATCAACAAAATTTTAAAAACACTCACTTTTGCCCATTTACACACCAGCGCGGACTTTTTGATCTACATACATATACTTATAAGTCGCTTTACAGCACTCCCTCACGCTCTACGACTCCTAACCTCCACTGCTCTCTTTCAAACCACAAATCTTGGGGGATTGAGCACCTTAACATTTCCGCTTCAATCCCTTCCCTCCAACCTTTCATTGGGCGCCCTCTGCGTCTTCTCCCAGGAGGAACCCAGTCAAGGACCTTCTTCGGCAACCTGTCTCCTGCCATTCTCTGGACATGACCATATCAAATGAGTTGTTTTGTCATAATGTCATGCACGATGGTCTGCTTGGCATCCATGATATCCCGTACCGTCTCATTCCTGACGCGATCCTTTCTGGAAATACCAGCGGATCTACGCCAGAAGTCCATCTCTGTTGCCTCTAAAACCTCCCGGGTCCGCTGTTTCATCGGCCATACTTCACACCCGTAGGTTACTATGCTCTTGACAATCGCGTTGTAGATCCTTCTTTTGTTCTCTTTGGATCTACACTTTTTGATCTACATGGTGAATATTAAACCTTAAGTTTACCTGAAGGCTGGGCTCTAGGTGGCTGTAATAATTACTTTCAAAGGCTGTGCAATATTTCCTGACCTGCAAATAGCAGCACTAGAAAACTAAATCTCACCTTTATACCTCTTAGTACTAACTTAGAAAGTTAACCTTCTCCTCAAAATTTAAAGTGTTGACAGTTTAAATGCTCAAACATTCTCTTAGACTTGAATGACTTTGGCCACTCATTTTGTTTCCCTGAGCTTTGTAATACTTAAATAGCAGTTGGATAGACATATTAAAATATAACTTACCTCTATGAGTGATGAAGAAATAATCATCGCACCATTTCTTGAATTTAGGATAATAACTATCATCATGTTTATCACAGGCTTCTTTTAATGTTCGATGAAAATGAACTACATCTGATTCATTCAGGTAGTATGGAGTCAAGTCAGTGCCCCCACCAAACCACCACTGAAATTACAAAATGCACAGTACGGGTTAGTTTGAAAAGATGAAGTTTACTCATAACAAACCCTTGAAAAAAAATAAGTGACCATGGAAAAAGGAATATTCAAGAAGGCAAATGCAAGACAGAATCAGAACTTTATCCCTATTTATCCAAATTTTAGGAATGACCATGTACTGATTAGCCATGATAAGAAAAAACGCTGTTAGAGCATTCGAATTTCCTCTAAAAAATTATAGACTTTAAAATATGAATATTTTTCCTTGAAATTTTCAGACACTTTAGATTAAATTACTAACAAAATTCTTTGAAAAATTGAAGGAGAAATATTCATAAGTGTCCCCAAAAGTTCATGATTGGACAATTGAAATTTGGCAACATCTGAAGGCTAGTAAAGCGTTTTCCCTTGACACTGCAATAATGTGGCGATACTGCACAATCCAGGGACAATATTGAAATGGCAGAGTCTTAGATACCAAACCTTGCCGAGATGAAGTTCAATGATGCAAGTCACACGATGCAAGGCACAGCAGTTCTTTCACTTCATCGTTCACCCTTTTTTATGTCTCTTCCCCTCTGGCTCTAGCAAAGCATTTTTACGATTCAGGCCCGGTTGATTGGGGCTTTTGGCTCAATGAGTGTTTTCTGTTCATAGGAAAACCCTCTACTACCCTCACCCCTCCTACTATCATAGCTCTCAACAAAAGTAAAAACTGTGAAAGTAAACTAATTTTACCTGTGTTGAGCCATCATCGTCAGTGACCTCAAAGTACCGGTAATTAAAGTGGACTGTAGGCACCATTGGATTCCGTGGGTGAATCACAGAACTCACCCCAGCTGCATAAAATGGCAACTTATCACTATGAAACTTTTTGCCTCTGGAAAAAAATATACACTGCATGTCATCAATTTCTGGGATAAAGTGCTTCAGCAATATATTTGCAAGGATCAAAAAATTATTGGCCTTTTCCTGTTGTTTTAATTATTTCATAATAACATTTTGACTGAGCTGCTGGAGGGGTATGAAACAAATACAATGAAATTTGAGCAAAATAATTCCTTAAAAATACTGGAGATCTGAGACAATTTAAAATTTGAACAACCTATCTAAGTGCAAAAACCCGAAGAGATTAATTTAAATGCTGATAACGAGTCTCTTTTGACGGGTCCAATGTATTTTTTTTTTTGTAGCCTAAACATTTTTGGGCACTTCATGTTGCACTTTGTTGTAAAAAAAATTTACACGATAAAAAAAAAAAAAGCTATAAACAACTAAATTTCAAGACAGAAACCGTCAATCCTTCTGAAGAACTTGATTGGAGAATTCAAATTACTAGCTCACCAACACTGAGATTTTATGGGTAAGTTTTTATTCAAAACTTCTAATGAAGATCTTAAGCTGGAGACCAACCATTTTCATATTCTAAAATATCAATATCCAAAAACAAGTATTTTTTCTTGAAGTCAAATACGAAAAGTCCAAAAACCAGCTTTTTCACAATATGAAGTACAACATGATCTATTTACCTGGCTCGCATTTGTTGCACAGCGCTGGCAGGAAGAGTGCCATGCACAACAGATATATTTACACCGGCTTTTTCGTAAGTCTGTCCATCTTGCAGTATACAAGTAATACCACCACCTCCGACCTTCCGCTCCCAGCGATCAACAATGAATTTTTTATCAGACTCCTCTTCAGCCTCCAAGGATCGGCAAAAATCTGCCTGTAAATAAATACGGTAACACATAAATGTTTTGAACAGAGTAACTTGCATTAAGGAAAAGTTAATGAAAAATGAAAAGCACAGAATGGTCAGATATTCATTGCTCTTGTTCTTTTCAATTGAACCATTTTGACTGGAAACAGCCTAACTGAAACAGGCATTGCTTAATTTCCTATCATGTTTTTAGCAGAAAACTAAGGTGCATACTGACTTGAAGTAATACTTACACCAATTATGTAGAATATATGGGGGAGATTTATGAAAAATTTCAAGGTGTGATGCTGTATAGTAATTTGTTGTAAAATGAAATGTAAGGCAAAATTAGGCAGCATGAAGTATAGGTAGCCTAGTGCAGGTCAAATCAATCCAAATTACCCTGATGGCTTGAGCGTTCCTAATAAAAACCAGGCAAATAAATTATTGCACTTTAAAGAATATAGAATTTAAATGTACATAAAACATAAATTATTGCAAGGATAAAGCTGAATAAAGTAAAGTGAAACTGGGAGATATTAAGCTTGTTGGCACAGGCATTTATATTATTATGTAGTTATACGATTTAGGTCCACGTACACTTGTGAAGACGTATTTACTTAGACGTCCCCTTTTCTCCAGACTGTGTAGCATTGTATGAAAACACTTCATGAAATTAGCCTTGATATGAGGACTAAATGACAGAAAAAAAATGAACAAAAACCTGAACTTTCATGATGAAAAGCTCCATTTTAGTTTTCATGTCATCTTCTCTGGAAGACAAAACATCCCAGCTAGTGATTGGCTCAGCCATGAAATTGTGGGATTTGCTGTTAATATTAGCCATCCGAGCTTCATTTTTCTGGAGACTGTACAGAATAACACCAGAACCAAAGAAAACAGCTGTCAGATGCCTAGAGACAAAAAGAAAAGAAAGATTATTAAGATCATAGTTACGATATCGATAAAAAAGAAGACTTAGGATATTTCGAGTCTTCGGTCCAACTAATAAAGTGTTAGAAGGCCATTACAGTATTACATGAGGCACATAAAAAGGGACAAGAGGGGTCTGAGGTAACCTTACTGACATCTCTGCTTGTGACAGTGAAGGGGTAGCTTTGAACCGTAGAGAGAAAAAAGGAGGTGCTCGCATTGTAAGGATTTTTTTATCCTGTGGCGTAGGTAGGTACAATATGGCGTCAATATTCCAGCAAAATCCAAAATTCACAGTATGAAAAACGAACCACACTGTGTTTTTTCTTTTTGCTTGGTTCAACTCAAAATATTCAAGTACTTTATGTAGAATGACTTTGTTTCGTAAAATACACCATTCTCAAGAAGCTCGCTAGCGGGTAGCGACTGTAACTACCTACATTATCCATAAAATTCAAGAAGCTCAAAATGCGACCACTTCTTTTTCTTTCTCTATCGTTTCAAACAAGGGGGGGTGGGGTCGAAAATCAGAAGAAGTGCCTTAGACTGCCCCTACCACACTACTTGTAAGCCTCAGTTTGTCTTCATCTTTTTCTGGGAAAATTTTCCATTATTGACTTGGAGTATTGATACGCCCTGAACCAGGGGCCCTTTGGGGGAAACTTATCTAAAGAGCTCTGGCTTATCAATGCAAGTGTAGTGAGATTTCATTGCCATCCACTACAAACGTCATTTATTGCATGAAAAGATAGAATCAAAGTCTAATGTTACTAGTAAAGACGAACAAAATACACCTCAGTGCTTCTGGTACAAACAAATTTAATAAGACTCGTTGCCATATGCTGAATTGATGGTAGTCTCTTGTGGATAGCACAGCTTGACACAGAAAACAATGTTTACATGATAACTTCTGTTAGAATCCAAGAGATACTAGTCTAGTGTCTGATGAAGTTTAAAAAACCTGCATCACTTAGGTGCTCTAAGATCAAAAACACTTGGTCAACCGGTTACAAAAATGAAAGCTCAAATTTAACATAAACTTGTAATGGCCATTGGCAAGGCAAAGCTAAAGCATGATCTTAAAATGATAATGTAGGAAGAGAATATGTAAAAATGCAAACCTGAGTTTTGACTTGTTTTGTTTGTATGCAACTGAATATATGCTGGGGGTTGAAAGGGTGAGGGTTTTAAAAAATGACTTCAACATATTGGTCATTGAATGGAAATCGAGAAGGAAATTATTACAATCTGTACATTACAATTTGCAGTACGAGGATGGTGAAGACGGATACATGAACACTATACTTATTGGAGATAATGAATATCAGCAAACGGTTAAAATGAAACTTATAACTACTAGTTACTTTAGTAATTCGCTACGTCGCAACAATTTGCATGGTGCCAATGGATTAAAACTTAACTGAAAGAGGCCATTCATTTATTGTATTAAATAAAATAAACCAAAACATTAGAAATTTCATTTATGTGGAGAACCTAACCTCAAGAAAGTAGTGTGCGGCTCTTATCAAGTTATCGCGAAACTGGCCAATCAGGAATTGAGATTGATGCAACGTCATCAAGGCAAATGGTGGAGACCATCGTTGGCAAATAGTTTTAAAAAATCAGCACTTTTCGACCTTATAAACCCCATGTTAGAATACCTACCCCAAGTAAGATAGTATCCACATTGTATCAGGGCCGGATTTAGGGGGTGGCCACATGGGCCGCGGCCCATGGTGGCGAATTTAGGGGGGCGGCAAATTGTGACTTTTTCTAAACGTAGGTATAAAAAATCGGATTCACAAAAAAATTGCAAACGAGAAAAGGCGACAAAATCTTTCATTTCTTGAGAGTATAGTAATTTCTAATTTTGTCGTCTTTCGGCGATACAAGAGGCAGCACCTTTAAGTAATTAGTCGAGTTAAGAGTGAAACCAAGCACCCTATTTGACTTGGAACGGCGCGGCGCAGAGTGAAATGATGACGAGGACTTGAGATTGAAAGGAAAAGCCCTCAGCGCGGCGGTCGGCGCGTTACACAATCATATTAGCGCCTACAAGACTGCGTGAATACTTCACGCATTGCGCCATATACAGTGTGGTCAGCGCGGCGCGGCAGCGGAAGTTAAAATTGTTAAACCACATTTATGTTTTGCACATTTTTTGCAGAAAATTTGTCCAACACGAGTAAACGTGTCTTATGCAACCCACCCCCTCCGGCACGTTCACTTGATAGTTTTTATTAAAGTTTCAGAACGGCAAAATATAGGCGGCCCATGGGCGGCAAGTAGGTAAATCCGGCCCTACATTGTTTCGCAAAACTTTTACTTAAATTACAATTTTCAACAAAATTACTTTAAATCTTTGCTTAGTGCCTGGGAGGGGAAGTGACTGCAAAATTGCAAAATAATATATTACGATCATATTCGATTATTGCCTACCGACAGAGTGAGATGAATGGGTTGGGTCCTCCGCAGAGATAACTATTCGCGCTCTGCGGTATATTTCTTGCCTATCTGGCAAAATTGAAGGCGAAAATTCAAATGAATGAGATCTGCCGATAGGAGCACACATACAAGACTGCTAGTTGTGTAATGAATGTTGGTTGTGTAATAAATGTCGGAATAAATGGTAAATATGCTTCCCGGGTGGATTAAGTACGGATTCTTTGCAGTTCAAGGACCGTTTGAGATTCAAGAAAAAACCATCTGAAATTCTCATGTATCTTATTCAGAGCACGACATTTGACCTCGATTATAATAAAACCTGCGCCTTTTACTAGACCAAAAATGAATAATAATAAACTGCTCGTAACTTACTTTTTAAAATATTAAAGCGTTTTCGCTCGCAATCTCAAAATCCAATTTTTTTTTTTTTTTTTTTTTTTTTTTTTTTTTTACTAAACTCGACAAAAATCCCTGTTCTCTCCTTGAAAGTTTGTCTCTTTGGACTGAGCACCCGTCCCCCATGAAAAATCACAAATAGAAATAAATCGAAAAATGAGAGAAAAATAATTATAGAAATTCGGTTTATGAATGTACGCAACAAGTCAAATTTCAGATTTAGCGTCCAAGCAGACAACTTATGATCGTTATCGCAATCATACTGTGCAAAATTTCTGACAGCAGTATCTCCAAATTTGACGGAATGTCTTAGAAGTATTATTACAGCACCACCTCATCGATAGAAAGCGAGGGATTATAGTTTTCTTCCGAACCGCACTCCGATGCAAGCACCGAGATTGGTTCAAGACAACTGAGCAATGAAAACTTAGTACCCGACGACGCGCACAGTCGAAGATAATTAAAAGCTAGGAACAGAGGCAGCCATACGTATTAGGTGCAGGGAGTCACAGAAAGTAGATTTGGCAGTAATAGATCATCTGTCAGTGATACGAAATTGAGTGCTTGTGATGTGTGATGGTCTTAATTTTTCCAAAAGAGGGTAAAGGAAAATCGACCTCAAATCTTCGGAAACTGCTTCTTTGCAACGCAAAATTCGCAATTTTCTTAACGGCTCCCGACAGATGGTCATGTGTTTTATGATTTCGAGAAGCTAAAATGATAGATATTTTCCGGAAGTATTTCAAAGTGTGATCCAACTCATTCCACCCCTCAGCCAGGTTGATTCTTTCTGCGATTTTTTGTGACACATCAAACATGATCACTAAAGCTGGTGCGTTGTCTCCCCGGCGTCTTGTGAGTATTGTCATCTCAAAAAATATAATTTACTTGATGATGCGGTACTTCCGCAAATTAATTATGGTTAACTTCAATGAATCCCTGGTAAAAATTGGCAGTAGAATCTGTGCTCCAAAATACCATAGACCTACAGCCGGCTGTAAGATTTCCAATAGCTTCTATAGTCGGCTACACAATTTCTTATAGCCTTTCATAGAAGATGGCGATTAAGCAACAGCCAGGCGATAAAGTGTATGCTAAACGTTACTAATTACGGATACTAGGACAGCGAGTTTTTGGACAAGCGGGATCGAAGTTCCTGCGTCGAATGGTTTCCCGCAACCCGCCATACATAGCTAAGACGTTCTACCTAGAACGGTTTGCCGCAACCCGCGGTACACACTTATCAACGGCGGCACTGGGGAAATAGTTGCACTCCAGTTCTTGAATAGATAAATACGTTTCCTCACGCATTCTACATCTCCTCCGCTCGCGTTTGGCGTGCTCCTGCGTTGTTGATTAAACCGAGAGATACCCGGAAACTATGACCGTAAATTTTATCGCATAAATCGGCTGCTCGATCCAAAATCGTGTTTGAGAGTTGAGGATGATTCTGTTTCGGCGAGTGTCGCTAAGAAAAGATAGAGACCAGTGGCGTGGCGTGCTTTGCGATGTATCGATTGATCTGCCATTTAAAACAATGGAAAAGGATCGATATAGACAGGGTGTTCGCAACGAACATCTTAATAATCGATTCTTTACCATAGCTTCAAATGGAGAGATGTCGATAGTCCACCATTCACGCCACGCCACTGATAGAGACTGATCGTAGAGAGGGGGAGGGGCGCGCAAGAAATCTTAAGCGCCAACATATTTCAATGAACTGATTTTATTTGATCAGAAGCTGATTAGGCTGTCTGAATTTGCAGCTTTTTTCAAATGTTCAAAATTTTAAAGGACCACTAAACCTTAAACGTTCGAAATTGCGGCCATGATCTTTTTTACATAATAACCATCGAATGCAATCGAAAATATCTAACACCATTATGTAGCCATAAAATTGGCGTACTCATATATCTTAGGTTTTCTTTTATTTTCTGGGTTTTATTTTAATTTATTATTTTTATTTTGTTTTAGTCTTCGTTGCCATTACGGATTTGCCGCTTTTATTTTCGAGGGGTGAAAGGTAAAATTGGAATAGGAATATTATATTTTCGGCGTTCTTCTTCATATCAAGGGAAAAACTTTGTGAGGTACTTTCCAGTTTTCAGTTTTCGACTTGAGAATTTAAAATGACAAGGGCCAAAAAAAAAATCTGCGGAAACTGCGAGTCAATCCGATCCCCCTGCCAAATGTTATCCGCCCAAAGTTTATCTGGGGGATCTGCACCTTTATTTCATAAGCCTTTGTCTCACGATCAAATGAACTCATCAAATAGTCATCAAATGCAAGATGGCGACTGGTTTTCGCGCAAGTCAGCTATCAAAAGTTAGCGGGCCGTCAATGTTGATGTACCCGCCATCTTGCATTTGACGAGTTCATTTGATCGTGAAACGAGGGCATTAGAGTAGGTTCGACGGCTCATGGATAGACCGTTTCTCCTTTTAGAAAGTCCTTAGAAACTCCACATGTGACACTTGAATCTTCATTTGCCCCCACGTGTGGGAGCCACCACGGTCCCCACCNTTTTTTTTTTTTTTTTTTTTTTTTTTTTTTTTTTTTTTTTTTTTTTTTTTTTTTTTTACTAAATTTGACAAAAATCGCTGCTCTCTCCTTGAAAGTTCGTCTCTTTGGACTGAAATCCCGTCCCACCTGAAAAATCACGAATAGAAAAAAAATCGAAAAATTATAAAAGAAATTAGGTTTATGAATGCACGCAACAAGTCAAATTTCAGATTTAGCGTCCAAACAGACAACTTATGATCGTTATCGCGATCGCATCGTGCAAAATTTCTGACAAATTCGAGGTATCTCCCAGTTTGATGGAATGTCTCAGAAGTATTACAGCACCACCTCATCGATAGAAAGCGAGGGATTATAGTTTTCTTCCGAACCGCGCTCCGATGCAAGCACCGAGATTGGTTCAAGACAACTGAGCAATGAAAACTTAGTACCCGACGACGCGCACAGTCGAAGATAATTAAAAGCTAGGAACAGAGGCAGCCATATTAGGCAGCCGTATTAGGTACAAGGAGTCACAGAAAGTAGAATTGGCAGTAATAGATCATCTGCCAGTGATCCGAAATCGAGTGCCTGTGATGTGTGATGGTCTGCGTTTCCCTATAAAGAGGGAAAAGGAAAATCGACCGCAAATCTTTAGAAACTGTTCATTTGCAACGCAAAATTCAATCTTTTTTTCTTGATGGTCATATGTGTTTTGTGATCTCGAGAAGCTAAAATGATAGATATTTTCTGGAAGTATTTCAAAGTGTGATCCAACTCATTCCACCCCTCAGCCAGGTTGATTCTTTCTGCGATTTTTTGTGACACATCAAACATGATCACTAAAGCTGGTGCGTTGTCTCCCCGGCGTCTTGTGAGTATTGTCATCTCAAAAAATATAATTAACTTGAGGATGCGGTACTTCCGCAAATTAATTATGGTTAACTTCAATGAACCCCGGTAAAAATTGGCAGTAGAATCTATGTTCCAAAATACCATAGACCTACAGCCGGCTGTAATATTTCCAATAGCTTCTATAGCCGGCTACACAATTTCTTATAGCCTTTCATAGCCGATGGCGACTAAGCAACAGCCTGGCGATAAAGTGTATGCTAAACGTTACTAATTAAGGATGCTAGGACTTAGTGAGTTTTTGGACTACCGCTCTCTTTTTGGGCCGTAGTATCTTGATTTATTTTGCGAGGAAAGCTCCGTACTTTTAAAGGATGCCTGCCATTCCTAATATGTTGGAGCACCTTCAATTTCGTATGATACTGTGCAATACGTCTGGTGTGAAATAGTTGCTTCAAGCGCCGCGGTACGCTGCGGCGCGACGCGGCGCGGCGGGCGGGCAGCCAGCGCTAAACGCGCATTCGCGCCTACAAACCCAACAGGGATACTTCACGCATTGCGCAATGCGTGAAGTATCCCTGTTAGGTTTGTAGGCGCCAGTGCGCCGCGCCGCCGCTCCGCTTTGTGTTAGGCAGTTAGGCTCTAATATTTAATCTCGCGGAGTCAGCGTTTTTCAACTCATGACTTTGAAATGTTTGCACACTCTGTATGGATTATTCTCATTTTAATTGATGAAAAAAAATAAGTAGTAAAGGGAAATATAATGTGCGTTTTTAAATTTGAAGGTGATTCCGTACAAACTTAAGGATTTACAAAACACAATAATTTCTACACAATTTCTTATAGCCTTTTATAGCCGATAGCGAAAAAGCAACAGCCAGGCGATAAAGTGTAAAGCCCGGCGATAGGAACTATAGCCCAGCTGTATAATTTTTTATCGCTTCGTGTAGCCCGGCCGTATGATTTTTTCCACTTTCTACAGCCAGCTATATGATTTTCTATCGCCCTCTTCAGTCGGCTATATGAACTCCTGTGGTACTTTGAAACGCAGCTCCTATCGCCAATTTTTATAAGGGTCTGTCTACGTATTGCAAAGTGCAATAGGTTGCGATAAAATGCAAGATTGCTTGATTGTTGCAATTTATGCCATGTCCATTGTGAAACTGCAGAAATGCGTATCTCGGTTGGCGGCATTGCAGACTTCCTGCCTTACTTCATTTTCCACATATAAGACTACCATAAGTCATTTCTTGAAAACCTCCGTGATTTTTCTTCTTAATGCGAAGAATATTTAGCAAAATTTTAATCCACGATGTTTTCTCAGGATCCTTTTAAAAAATAAAATTTGAGAGGGGATTTTGCAACACTGCAACCAAGATACGCATTTTTGCAATTTCATCCTGAATATGCTAATTCTTTAACCTCTTATTTTTAAGATAATAGCAATATATTTCAATCAAGTCGCAGTAAGTTTACCCAACAACTCTCTGCTGTACTGCTGTTTGCCTATCTTTCCATTTGAAGGGGCCGATACGACTAATTTTTCCGCTTCAATTTTACTTAAACCCTCAAAGCAGTCAAAGCACACGGGGAAAATGTTGCAGGTCTACCGCGCGCCGCGGTGGGCTGATGGATATAGCGCGGAGAAATGATGAAGTAGAGTGGTCTAATTTTTTAAAGTACCATATGTCCAAAGAAACCGCACGGTTGCACTGTGATCCACAATTTATGAGTTCCAAACATGTTAGAAAAACTTTGAATATGGTTGCAAGCAACTAGCAATTGTCGGCATCTTGCAAGGCTTTGTGAGTGAAGAGAAAAGCACGAAATTCAGGAGTAAAGGAACATGGTGCAGTGCTAAGCAACAAGCCTTCATGCAGTGGCATCAATTACTCAATTTGGAATTCGTCGGTGGTATGGCCACATTTAAATTGTTTGTTACCCTTTTTTCAACGGCATGTGATAGATAGATGATTGATCATTACTACATCTAAGATTTTGCTTCGTATAGATCCTATTTATGGCGATACTGGTCGTCTCATTTGAGAGTGTAAAGGGACAATATAACGACCGGGATGAAAAATATTCCAACGTGGGAAGACAATATAACGTGCCAACCAATACGGTATGTTAATATTTATATACTATTATTCTTAGGTACCAAATTGCTCGTAACAACTGTTAAAAAAACTTTGAAGAAACTCATAACTTTTTAAATTCGAGTCAAAAAGTGTTGACAAACTCTTTAAGCATCAGTCGTAAATGTTTAATACTACAAAAGTTCGCAAAATATGTAAAAAAAAAAAAAAAAAAAAAAAAAAAAAAAAAAAAAAAAAAAAAAAAAAAAA